GGGCGGGCAGCGCGAGGCGGGCGGGCAGCGCGAGGCGGGCGGGCAGCGCGAGGCGGGCGGGCAGCGCGAGGCGGGCGGGCAGCGCGAGGCGGGCCCGGGCGACAAGCGTGCGGGGAGGTGGGCGGGCCCGGGCGACAAGCGGAGGGAGGTGGGCGGACAAGCCGGGAGGTGGGCGGACAAGCCGGGAGGTGGGCGGGCAAGCCGGGAGGTGGGCGGGCAAGCACACGAGCGGCTGGCAGGCGGCCGTGCTGACTGCCCGCAGCCCCGGCATCAGGAGTCGGCGCACCCTCGGCGGCTCGCCGCACCTCCCGGTTACTGGCGCCGGCGGTCCCGGGCCATCTCCCTCCAACACTACCGCTTAGGGTCGGCCGGGGCAGAGGTGCCAACTACAGGGCAGCAGCGCGAGCCGGGGTAGGGGGGCGAGAGGCCGTGTTCTGGTCCCCTAGAGAGCGAACGCCTCCAGCACCTTCCCTCCTCCTGCTCCGCCTCTGCCTGCCCGCCTTCCCCTGCCGCCACCGCCGGGTCCTTCTCGCCGCCTCCTGCTGCTGCTCAAGGTAATTCTTTCTCTCTGGTTTCATTTGTAGGGGACAATCACTCATCTCAGAGATGACAACCTCACAGGATGAAGAGTCTTCCATAGGATTGGTGAATCCAGAGGTCACTCCTACAAACCACCCAGAAGAGGGAGAAACAGGTATATATTTAATGCAATTTGAAACAAACTGGAAAGGCATAGAGGAGCATTATTGTGGTCTCACAGAGGAGCAGAACCTCCTGCCCCTTAGCTTGTCGGGGCAGGTCTCTAGATGTGAAGATGTTTGGAATCCTCTCTTATATCAGTTACTCTGTTGCGTACACTGTGATGGAGTGCTATTGTGACGGATACCCTGTCTAAGTGATCTATAAGACTAAAAAACAAACAAGCACACAAACGAATGAATGAATAAAAAAAAAAAACAGACAATCCTGTAAGGCCCCTTCCTCAAGGATGCTTCAAGCTGTTCATGTAAAAGAACAAGCCACATGTATTCAATTCCCTAAAGAGAGCAAGTAGGTGGCCGAAACCAGTGCTCTGTGATCAGATTCTCCAAATAAACTGCAAGGGAGCTAGTGTGGGTTTTGTTGTTCTGAGTTTTAGTGGTGATGCTGGTGTTGTGTGGCCATTTAGAGGTCAGAGGACAACTGTGTGTAGTTGGTTATTGTCTTCTCCATTTCGGCATGTTCCAGGGGTTGAACTCAGATCACTGGGCTTGAATAGCAAGCACCTTTACCCACTGAGCCATCTTGCTGACCCAGGAGTTGTGATAGATGATTGATAGATAGATAGATAGATAGACAGACAGATAGATAGATAGATGATAGATAGATAGATAGATGATAGATAGATAGATAGATAGATAGATGGAATGAACAGTTAATGTAATCTCAGCCTCAAATTCAATATTTAGGCAAGACTGGCCTTGAACTCATGACTCAATAGCCTGCACCTCCCATGAGCTAGAATTGTAGCTCTGTGCTGCCATCCCTGGTACACTAATTTGCCCTTCTTTTTATTATTCATGTGGTCCTCTTTGTTTTAAACAGGTCTATTCTGACGACACTAACCGAATGAGCAGCTCTTGTTGTATTTTTTGTTCCATGATCTTCACTCTTTCTGCTTAATGCTCTTTTATTGGCCTTAGATTAATAATAACTGGAATGTTCTGTGGCAATTTTTTTTTTTTTTTTTTTTTTTTTTTTTTTTTTTTTTTAGTTTTTCGACACAGGGCACAGGGTTTTTCTGTATAGCTCTGGTTGTCGTGGAACTCATTCCATAGACCAGGCTGGCCTAGAACTCGGAAATCTCTCTGCCTCTGCCTCCCAAGTGCTGGGAATGAAGGCATGCACCACCACTGCCCAGCTGTGGCAAACATTCTGTTTCTCTTTCCTCTAGTCTTCTGATAGCCAAAGGCATCATTTTAGATTGAGATGTTATATGAAGGTGTTTGCACTAGGAATGTATAAGTAAAATCTACAGATGATTCTAGGGTAAATTTATCCTTTTCTCTAAAAGATATTTGAGATTGATGTTCTCATATTTATATTTTTCAGATGAAACAAAATTTCTCAGAATTGTCTCCCTTGAGTCTCTTCTTATTTTTTACTGGTGCATTATAGTGATCATACTCTTCTCAGCAATTTTTTGGTTTTTTTTCCCTTGGTTAGGTAAGTGACTTACTCTTCAAATTCTGCTGCATTCTGTCCACATTCACGCTGTCAGTTATACTACTGACCTCTGTGAGCCAGGCATTGTGGGAAGGGCTCCAGAGAAAACACACTGGAAGTTCCTGTTCTCTGGGAACTTAGGTTCCAGCAGGAAGATGCAGTGAAGGAACACACAGGCTGTGGTGTGCAAAGAGGCCGGGCTCAGCATCCCTGGGAAGATGACATCCAGCAAGCTCTAGACAGAGATGCAGGGACATAGGTCCACCTGGGGGAACTGTCCAAGGCAGAGAACAAGGAGAACAAAGCTCCAAGGAGGAACCTCTAGCAAGTGTGCGGACAGGGAAAAGTAGTATGGCCAGGAAGTTACACTGTCTCCCCTCACACCCTATGGTTTTAGTTACTGGGCTCAACTATATTTTGAATGTATTAAATAGAACTTTCCTGAAGCAATGAATCAATAGGATTTTCATACCACACTGTTCAGACTAGTGTAGTAAAATCTTGCACTGTCCTCTTAAGTATGTGAATCATCCTTTAGTGTAGCATGTCCACACTGTATACACTACCTACCCAGTAGTTTTCACTGCTATCTCAATTATCAGGCTGGCTGCCAATAGGTGTCCGTACAGAGTGCTTGCTGCTGTAGCAATCACTATTGTTGTAAATAGTCATCTAAAGCACAGAATGTGATGCCTTTATAGAAATGCACTTCCTGGGAGCCCTACTCTCAGTGAGCACCCCAGAGAGAATGGGACACAGGACCAAAGTGGGAGGTCTTTAGATAAAGGCCCATCATGCTCAGGAGAGGATTCCTACAGATCAGTTAGGAAAGCTACAATCAGATTCACACCTCACAGCTGAGCTCAGGAGGGTATTTCAAAAAGAGAGAAGACATGATTTTTATGATTTGTTGTATTGTCTATATTTTAGGAAAAAGGACAGAACAGATCTTAATCAAAAATAATACCTATGCTGCTTGCCCGAGCAACTGGATTGGATTTGGAAAGAAATGTTTTTACTTTTCTGAATACTCAAGAAACTGGACATCTAGCCAGGACTCTTGCATGGCACAAGGGGCCCAACTAGCTCGAATTGACAGCCAGGAGGAGCTGGTAAGAAATGGACAGGGATTGGTTTATCTGTTTGTTTTGTTGAATATTTTATAACCTTGAGATAGAGAGGTTACAGATGAAGCATGAGGAAGGATCCCATCCCCAGCACATGGAGACATGGGGAATGTGTGAGTGTGTGCCATTTGCTGATTCTTGACTTCTGACTGGAGCCCTGTGACATTCAAGAAATATTCTCTCATTTAGTGTTCATAGTCAGCTGGAAGGTCAGATATGGCATTTTCCTGGGATACCTGGTGGTCATGAGTGTTTTCATGTAAGATGGCACATGTTGCATACTGTTCCTAACTGTAATGGGAGGTTAGCCCAGAACTAACCTGGCCACAGAGAAATGTGTCATTACATTTGGTACTTTAGAATTACAGATGTCAAGTGAACCCACTGAAAACTGGTGACTAATATGGATTCAAATTATGGGACCCTCAGTTATACTCTTCTCTTTAGAGGAAGCTGTGGAGTGGAGACACTTCAGCATTATCTGAAACAAAGAGACACATGCATTTTTGGCTTTTTGTGTTTTATGACAGAATTTTCTAAGGAGATACAAGGGACCTTCCGACCACTGGATCGGCCTACACAGAGAGTCATCACAACACTCTTGGAGGTGGACAGACAACACTGAGTATAACAACTTGTATGTTTTCAGACCACTTTTCCTTCTCTTGTGTTCATGTGTTGTGATGTGTGTGAGTTGTGGCTATAAAGGTTGAAAGTCAGTGTCGCATGAAGCCAACTGTACTGGTATGGAAGAAAAATCAACTTTTGGGCTTGAAGTGTGCCCTGGGCATAAGTTGTGTACCTCATGCAACAGCTAATCCCCAGGAAACTTCACATTCTTAAATTCATAAATTTAAGTCAATTGAATACTCTCCCATTTATTAGCTATCATCTTCAAAGCATTTACATAGTGTTATTTCATTCCAGATATTTAGCATGATGGTAGCATCTGGGTAGATGTTGTCTCCTATCACCACTTGAAAATTATTCCTTGATAATAACTGCCCTTGTGTGTTGTACACAGCCCTGCTGGTGATCACCAAGGACTCTAAAACCCTATGAAACCACTTCAGAACTTCAGACCTGAGAATTATCATCAGTCCTCTGCATGGTTGTACCTAGTTATAGAAGCAGAGATTCCAGAGGCATTGAGAGTCTCCCCTAAGGTCTTGTCATCAAAGAACACTGGGGACAGCTCTTGAGTGGGAGCATAGCCATTTTGAACAGACTCATTTCATTGGAATTGTTAAAACAAAGAACCAGTCACCTCCATAATTAAAGACCTTTCAGCAATTTACCAAGTGGTATATTTTCTCCCACTTTTATATACATGTTTAAAAATACTCCAAGAGAGCATTGAAAATCACGCTTGTGAGGCTCCCCAGGGCTGCAGTTTGTTTGAACATGGCAGCAAGTATTGTACACATAGTACAGGGTTCAATATGGATAAGTTAGAGAGGTGTGGTGATCAAATCTATCACAGAGGATGTAAAGGTTCCTTGGTGCAAATCTAATGAAATGGATTCTTGTGGACTCTGCTTCTCATTCATATTATAAATAAGTGGAGAAGATGAGTGAGATACGATAGCAGGAGTGAATGCAATGGCAGAATCTGCAGAATTAATTTTTTTTTTTTTGCTTTAGGTTTCCCATCCAAGGACATGAAAAAAATTGCTACCTGAGTGACAGGATCAGCAGTGGCAGGGGCTACATACCTAGGATGTCTATTTGTAGCAGGTCCACATGCACCTCACAGTGCTAGATGTTTTGTATCCTGGGTAGAGAATATTTCACAGCAATCCTGACAGACACATAACATGTTATCTACTGTTGCTTCTTTATTAACAATCTGCTGAAATCATTATCACAATCAGTGTATAATGTGTGATGACATCAAAGTTGATAATTACCTCTGAGAACTATTTATATGTGTGCTTGGAAGATCATGAATGGTTCTAAATTAAATAGGCATTCAGGTATGAGCTGGTACTCATATCTTAAAAATAAACTAAATCACATCAGTATTAGTAACATCTACCTTTTATTTAAAGCTTTTTTAATTTTTTCCAACATTTGTAAGCCTTTATCTGTATGTTAAGTTCCTGAAACATAAACTGGAAGCATAACATGAAGATTTATAAAGTACCATAACTGAAATTACTCATACAATGTTGTGGTTTAAAACTCGCTTGGCGTGTGGGGCAGATTGCGCCCGCATGCCTGAGCACCGCGGCTGGGGCAGTCCTCAGAGCCGCGGCTCAGTTGGCGGGACTCAGGACTCCACAGCACTCCCAGCTGATGGTTTGATCTCGCCTGCACCGTGGGGCTTGGGCTGCCTGCATGCTGCAGGCGGCCGCAGGGTCCCAGGAGTAGTGGCGCAGGGGAGGACGGAGTCCCTGGAGCAGGAGCAGGGACAGGGCAGCCCGCCAGGGCTCAGGTGCACGGACCACCGCTGCTAGGGAGAGAGCCCCGCGGACTGCTGGAGCAGGGAGCACAGGGAGGGGCTCCCCGGTGAGAGTTTCTCACACAAATGAGTCTAGAGTTCCAGGAGACACGTGGAATTGAAGACATGGAACTTTTATTGGCCATAATAGTTGTATCTGGAATTAAGTGCTCTCCCCCGAAATACCAGGAGGGGCTCCATTATATTGGGGAGAGGAGGGGCTAGGGAGATGAAAATTTAGTTATTCACACCCTTGGCCTTTAGGTAATTCATTAATATGTAAGTCTCAAGGCAGAGGTCTGTTAGTCATGCCCTCCACCTGTGCCTTACGTGACCTAGCATGCACATTAAATGGAGACTGCATGTTAGGTCTCTAGGTTCTGGGGGCATGGCCAAACATCCCAGGATTTCCACAGCCTCACATCCCACCCTCTTTTCTTTCATAAAAGAAGGGGCATCTCTGAAGGTATAGATTATAGGAGACGTATGTAAGCCACATGTGGGGGTGTTACTCCCATGTGACCAATGACTGGGCCTCTCTGTGGGAAGGACTGTGGAGGGATGAAACTGAGAGAGCTAGAGGCCTAGGAAGAGCTCGAATCGCCTTCCGTCCCAGTGGTTTTATCCAAACCAGGGTGCTGGGGTTCTAAAGCTCTTCTACCAGGCATCCGGCCTTTTCTCATAGTTCATCACCCACAATTCCCTCTCTTAGGAGAGGTGTCATCTGTAGTGAAAATTTTGGATGAGAAAGTCAAAAGAAAACACCACTCAGGCTGGGGGGTGTAGCATAACCAAGCCAGGGGTAATGGGAATTGAGGGTTGGGTTGGGAAAGCAAGGAATCATTGAATCAATTAAATACATGTTGTACAATTCGAGAGTAATGACATCTGATTAATCTAAATAGACATGTTTTCCTCACTAACATGTCACTTCAGCTACGTGACTTTGGCAAGAGTTCATCTGTGGCTGGAAGGTCTGGGTTTGTCTTCCATCTCAGCGTGTGTTTCTGTGTCTTAGCGAGCATCTCTGGGTCTTCAGTCAGATGGGATGGCTGGGAGAAGGCAGCTTGGCAGGTTCCAGGAGGTGGCGCTGTCTCTGCTGGATCTGTCGGTATAATCACAGGGAAGCAGCATCTCCGGTGGGGAGATATCTGGAAAGCCTGGATATCGAGCATTAAATTACTCCTGGAAAGGCAAAGATGTTTGAGGAAATTTTAGTCCTGGAAGGTATCTTTGAGTCTGTTTTTGGATGGCTGAAGGAGAAAAACGTTGTGCTAATAGTATCTGGAATAGGCATCCACAGTTTGTCTGTGACAGGAAATTAGTTGTTAATTAAAAGCTAAAAGATGGTGATCAGCATGTTGATTTAACCCTTGGAAGTAAATTTAGATGACTTTCGAACCTTGAAGAAATTTTAAAAAGTTGAAGAAAGTGTTGGACATATATCACGAGTATTAGAGAGAAAAGGAGGTTTTAAAACAAAAGGTGAAATTTTTTGGTTGGAAATCACGAACATTGTTGTTTTAGCGATTCCTGTTTGGAAGAAAAACATTAATGAAGGGTTTAAGAGCAGTGGGTTTAAGGGGCCTACTAGAAGCCAGGGTATACCCCTTTGGTTTTTCTTAGAGAAATAGAAGAAAGGCCAACTTTGAAGAAAAGCTCAAAAAGAGAAACATAGGGGCTTGATAAGAGAGTCAGAAGAAGTGAGATTCTGTGTCAAGGTCTGAACCATGGGAGGGAGACACCTAGAGGCAAGCATGGAGCCAGCAGCTCCTGGGAGAAACTGGCAGGCAGTTCTCAGGTGCTTTCAATTGTGAGAAAGACGGAGGGTGAGGGGAAAACCTCTGCTGGCAGGCAGAGCGCAACAGTGATTCTTTGGGGGAGGGGTAAAGAATGGAGACTAAGGAGTCTCTGCCATCTTGCCTTTGTCTTAGGAACATGTGGAGAGAAAGACATAGTCTTTTGAACTAGGTGGGAGTTAGACTGTAGTTAACAATTAGAGAAAAGACGTTAGCCAGGAACACGAGAAGGAGAGAGAGTGGAGGTGGAGGATGGATGGACAGAGATGTAACTCACGGTTTTCACAGGCGCGAGTGGGGAGTGCTTTTGGAGCTGGCTCTGTACACATTGTCCACTGTTAACAGGGGGAAATATGATGGCCCATGTGCCTCAGGAGCACGCGGGCGTGAGGTTGTCCACGTCTCCTGTCTGGAGCAGATGTCTCAGAGAGGCGGAGATCACCGCAATGGAGCAGAAGTGGGTGCAGAAAGCTTGGCTGTAGCCAGATTTCAGTGGGCGTGGGTGCAAGGCTCTCAAATGGGAAATCTCTGCTCTGGGCCTCAAATGCCATGGGGGGGGCACGCAGCAGGACAGAGACTGTGGGGGACGCATGGCATTGTGCTTGGACAAGCCAGCATGCCGATATAGGCCTCCATTCTGAGGGTCTGTATACGTGCAGCAGAATGGAGGCAGGGAACAAATGAGGTGCACTGAGGAAACAGAGTCTAGATGCCGTGCCCTGTTAGAAGTACTTGCTTGGCAGTAGCGGCCCGTTCATTCTTGAAGTCCGTGGGTGTCTGTGTCTCATGTTGGTGGCACCAGTTGTGGTTTAAAACTTGAGTGGGGCGCAGGGCAGGTCAGCTGAGCCCACGCCCCGTGGCCGATGCAGTCCTAGGAACCGCAGCTCAGTTGGCGGGACTCGGGACTCCGCAGCACTCCCAGCTGATGGTTCGATCTTGCCCATGCCTCAGGGCTTGGGCTGCCTGCACGCTGCAGGTGGCCGCAGGGTCCCGGGAGCAGTGGCACAGGGGAGGAGGGAGTCCCTGGAGCAGGGGCAGGGCACCCCACGAGGGCTCAGGTGCACAGACTGCTGCTGCTAGGCAGAGAGCCCATCGGACCGCTAGAGCAGGGAGTGTGAGTGTGGGGAAGGCTTTTCCTGGGGTGAGTTTCCCACTTATACAAAGGAGTCCAGAGTCCCAAGAGACACATGGAATCGAAGACATGGAAGTTTTATTGGCCATAGTAGTTGTATCTGGAATGAAGTGCTCTCCCCCAAAATGCCATCGGGGGCTCCATTATGTTGGGGAGTGGGGAAAGAGGAGGGGCTAGAGAGATGAAAATTTAGTTATTCACACCCCTGGCCTTTAGGTAATTCATTAATATGTAAATCTCAAGGCAGAGATCTGTTAGTCACGCCCTCCACCTGTGCCTTACGTGACCTAGCATGCAGGTTAAATGGAGACTGCATGTTAGGTCTCTGGGTTCTGGGGATGTGGCCAAACACCCCAGGATTTCTACAGCCCCACACAATGTCAGCTACAGAATTAGTCAGATTATAGTCATAGTAAGTCATATTGAATCTGGACTCTAATAATTAGTAACAGCAGGTTACATTAAACAAATCTTTAGACATAAAAATGTTTATTTGTCCAATCCTCAACACATGAGGCAAGTATACACAAGCTGTTACAAAACCTGACAAGAGACATGGGGTTGTTTTTTTAGAATATACATAGAGTTTCCCCCTACCTCCTCCTGGCATTATTTTATCCCGTAGTATGGGAAAATGGTTGTCGAACCTCTGTTTTGAATCTGCTTCCTATGGACATTAGGAGGCTACAAAGTGTTCCAGGAAGGCTGAAATGGCAGTCAAAGGCTGGGCAATGTGGCATTTATCAAAAGCATCTGATCAGCTAATCCAGATGAAAGACAGGAAGCAATCACATTGGAGCAAGTCCAGAGTTGAGCAGCTCCACAAGGTCCCTGGATGAACTCTGTCAGCCAGGTGAAAATCTGCTGAGAGAAATATAGACTAGGAACAGATATTAAAATTGTCTAGCAATTATGGAATTTAAGAAATCCCAAGACCAAGGGAAAATTTTATTTTCAAGAACAGGCAGGTATACTTATCTGGAGTCCATTAGATCTGTGACAGGCAGGTCTAAGTCTTAGGACACTTGATTCTCTGAAGCTTCTGTGAACTTTCATTTATAGAAGGATATATATTAGTATTTATATTGTATTGAAATCTACGTTTTAGGAAAAATAGTTAACCGATGTCTGTTATAAAAGCTATAGATTCACATCTATAAATATATAGGTTGAACAGAAATGTTTTAGCATGATGAGAAGTATCCTTAAGTTTACATTCATAAAACAACTAAAGGGAAATTAAGATTTCAAGCTTTTAACTGAATTGCAAACTGTGAATGTATCATTAACTTATGAGAATTTCATTGATCAGTGTTAAAAATCTGAACTTTGAAATAACAAAAGTTTGCGGGGGGAATATAAAACAACTCCAATTTCTTCTTTTTTAA